TTGTATTCCCAGCACTTGGGGCAGGCTGAGGTGGGGGCAGGGATCGTGGTTGAGCCCCAGGACTTCAATTTCTACAAGTAAGCTGATGGGATGGCTGCCACAGCCCAACTGCACTTCAGGCCTGGGATGACGAGATCCTGTCTCTAAAAAAACAAAAAAACAAAACAAAACATAAAAACCTAGATAATCCTATTTGACAGCCTGACATATGAGATTCTTGGATTTTAAATTTATTTTATATAAATTTTTTTTTTTCCTTATTTGTCTAATGAAATCTTTGCTTTTTTTTTTTACATGTTAACTTCGGTGAATTCTGATTTATTTATAGGAATTTGGAAAAGCAAGTAAATAAAAGTGTCATGCCAATTATCATTGCACAGTAGGGTAATAAATATTTGGGAGAAGGGGCCATTGGGGGGAATTTCTGCCGAACCATAAATCATTCCTTTTTTTTTTTTTTTGAGACAGAGTTCTGACTCTGCTTGCCTGGGCAGTTGGCCATCAGCCAGCCTCACAGCAACCTCAAACTCTTGCGGGGCGAAAGCCCCGACTTCCTTCTGCCTCAGGCCTCCCAGGTAGCTGGGGACTATTGGGGGGCAGGTGCCGGCCAACTGGATGGCCCCGCATCTAACTTTATTTATCATATATATGTATACTTTTTAGTTGTCCAGCTAATTTCTTTTCTACTTTTTTACGTATTTAGGGATGGGCGGTCTCGTAGTACTTCGCTCAGGCCCGGTCTCGGCAATATGGACCTGAAAGATCCACCTGCCCTCGGCCTCCCAGAGTTTGATTTAGATTACGAGGCATGGAGCCCATCATGGCCTGGGTCCCACAAATCATCTATCTTAATATGAAAACAGGTCGGGCCGCCAGGGCCCGGGGTCGCTCACGCCTGTAATCCTAGCACTCTTTGGGAGCGCCCCAAGGGCAGCGGGGCAGGCTCACTCAAGCGTCAGGCAGTTCCGAGACCAGGACTGAGCAAGGAGCGGAGACCCATCTCACTAAAAATAGAAACAAATTAATTGGCCAACTAAAAACATATAGAAAAAATTAGCCGGGCATGGTGGTGCATGCCTGTAGTCCCAGCTACTCGGGAGACTGAGGCAGGAGGATTGCTTGAGCCCAGGAGTTTGAGGTTGCTGTGAGCTAGGCTGACGCCAAGGCACTCTAGCCTAGGGAACAGAGTGAGATTCTGTCTCAAAAAGAAACAAAAAAAAGTGAAGTATACTGAGTAGTGGAACATTCCAGTGCTGTAAAACTATCGCTCTTGTACTGTAAGGTCAGACTTAAACAATTTGACTACTAAAACTGATAATAATAAAATTATAGTTACACTTCTTCCTGTTGTTAAAATTTCATACTTTCTTGATAAAAATTTATTCCTATATCCAGAAAGTTTATTCTATGATGGAAATCTTCAGTTTTGGCAGAATATTGTTTTAAACACTCAACTATTCTGCATTTAGCCAAAATGGATTTTTGGTGCACATCTACTTAGAACCTATTATTAATATTTGCTGAACTCTGGTTTGGGTACTGAGGATAAAGACAGGAGAGAGACAGTCCCTGTTTTCAAAGAGTTTATCTTATGGGGGACAGGGTAGAGATTAGTATATACATGATTAGAATATAGCATAAAACATGCTATGAGAGCACAGGTGGAATGTGGAATCCTGTTTGGGAGGTCTGGAGCCAGAGTTTTTGAAAGGTTCAGCAACCCCCTAAAAGATAATCAGACGTTACGTACTGAGTCTCACTAAGCAGAAATGCTTCATGGAAGAGGTCATATCTCAACTCAAAGTTAAAGGAAGAATCAGGGCTGGCCAGTTAAAGGGTTAGGGATAACGGCCAGATGAGGTGGCTCATGTCTATAATCCCAGCCCAGAAGTTTGAGGGTGCAGTGAGCTGTGAACACACCACTGGACTCCAGCCTGGGTGACAGAGTGAGAACATGTCTGAAAAAAAAATGGGGGCGGGCATGTTGTTAAGGGTAGAAAGGCAAAGTGAGGAGGGCAAAGAAAAGGCTGAAAGGGAAGGAACAGTGGTTTCAGACCAAGGAGATAGAACATGTGCGAAGGGCCTGAGAGAAGAGAAATACAGTTCATTCTAGTTCCAGAAGTATATAAGCTGCTGTACTTACATATTTTCAACTTACAAATACTATAGTAGCTACACTGATGTCCCTCAATGATTCTCCCCTGCTAGTATTCATGTCCTTGTATACTCCCCTCCAACGCCAGGTAGGGGTAATCTATGTAACCAATATGATATTGTGAAAACTATGTATATGACTTATGAGGTTATATCATAAAAAACATTGTGGCTTCTGTCTTGCTCTCTTTTGGATCATTTGCTCTGTGGGAAGCCAGCTGCCATGTCATGAGGATACCCAAGCAACCCTATAGATAGGTCAATTTGGCAAGGAACTGAGGCCCCTTGCCAATAGCCATGAGTGAGCTTTATTGGAAACATCTAGCCTCTGTTGATTGTAGCCTCGACTATATCCTCTTGGAAGATCAGCCTCTTGAGAGATTTCGGCTTAGTTGTGTGAGCCAGAACCACTCCACTAAGCCTCTCCAGATTCCTGAAGCATAGAAACAGTATGACATAACAAATACTTATCATTGGCCTGGCGTTGTGGCTCATGCTTATAATCCTAGCACCCTGGGAGGCTGAGGCAGGAGGATCATTTGAGGTCAGGAGTTCAAGATGAGCAAGAGCGAGACCCCATCTCTCCTAAAAATAGAAAGAAATTACTTGGAAAACTAAAAATATATAGAAAAAGTTAGCCAGGCATGGTGGCGCATGTCTGTAGTCCCAGCTACTCTGGAGGCTGAAGCAGAAGGATTGCTTGAGCCCAGGAGTTTGAGATTGCTATGAGCTAGGCTGAGGCCACAGCACTCTAGCCCAGGCAACAGAGTGAGACTGTCTCAAAAAAAACCACAAAAAACAAAACCACAAATACTTACTGTTTTAAGTTGCTAAATTTGGAGAGTATTTGTTATGCAGCAATAGATAACTAATACATTCACTGATGTGCTCAAAGACATCTTCCATAGCAAAATGCACAAGTTTCTATCCATCAGTCAATTTCATCTCAGCTATCAGATTACTTTAGTCCATACATAGCTTGCTTATAAGTTTGCAGTTAGTTTTGAGACATTTTATGAAGATTGTTAACCCTGTGGGAAACACAAAAGCAGAGTTGAAGAGATAAATGATAGAAACAAAAGTGAAGATAACAAAGATGAAAGTGATAAGAAAATTACAAAAGCTACACCTGCCTATGGGATGAGTTTCCAGTAGGGGTGATTCTGAAGAACAGAGGTAATAAGCAACAGGTGAAACACCTATACCATCAACAGTACTCACCAACCAGTGACCCAAATCGGTTGATAAAATGGAAAACATCTGAGTATGTGCCTAGAGGATCTGCACCAAGGTTGGATGGCTATTAGCTTTTTGAGGCTCAGAGTTTATTTGAGGACTTAAAGACCAGATTTAGCCAAAGACACACTAGTGGTTTCACTGGAGATGGTTTCTTGGCTTTAAGATCTATTTAGATCTGCACAGCATCAAAGTGAGCAGGAGGTGGTGTCCACACAAACCTTCACTGCCAAGTAGTTCTCCACTGCACATGCAGGGATAGTCAGTGAGGTGGCTTGTCTGCCTCTGCAGGTTTTTCAGGGCATACCCTTACTGACAGAATCCATGGCTGCAACATTTCTCCCAAGTATCTAAACTTCAAGTTTTTACTCAAACATCACTCAGGCCCACTCTGTTGCCCCACTGGAAATTGCTCACACACCCTCTTCTGCCTCCTGATGCCCCTTACTCTTTATTTTTTCCATAGTATTTACACTTAATATTTATTTAACCTATTTTTAATGTTCGTTTTTTCTCTTCCTCACACTAGAATGTAAGCTCCCTAAAGTCAGAGTGTTTTGTCTGTTTTGTTCACTGTGTCCCTAGGACCTAGAAAAGTGATACATGGTACAGGATCAATAAAAATGTGTTAAATGAATGAAAGCTTTGTGAGACTAAAAGGCAGGAAAGTGGCCTCCACAGAACAAGCCACTTGACAGATTGGAATTTTGAAATCCCAAGACCCTACATTTCACTGACTGTTCTCTATGGTTCTGATTAGTCATTCTGTTTTAGCCTTCCTTCACTGAATTGCACCAGATGAAGTCAAAGAAGAGATAGAGAGCATCAGGTAGAATTTGGGTTTTTGCTCTAAGAATAAAGATGGGCCATTGGAGGGGTTTTTTTTTTTGAGACAGAGCCTCGCTTTGTTGCCCAGGCTAGAGTGCCATGGCATCAGCCTAGCTCACAGCAACCTCAATCTCCTGGGCTCAAGCAATCCTTCTGCCTCAGCCTCCCGAGTAGCTGGGACTACAGGCATGCGCCACCATGCTCGGCTAAATTTTTGTATATATATATTTTTAGTTGGTCAATTAGTTTCTTTCTATTTTTAGTAGAGACAGGGTCTCGCTCTTGCTCAGGCTGGTTTTGAACTCCTAACCTTGAGCAATCCACCTGCCTCAGGCTCCCAGAGTGCTAGGATTAAAGGCGTGAGCCACCGTGCCCGGCCTCTACTTGGATATCTAACAGGCATCTCAAACATAGCCACAATCAAACAAACTCTTCTTTTTCCCACCTAAACCTACTCTGCCACCATACAAATCTTTCCCACTTAATGAAAAGCAAATCCATTCTTCCAGATGCTCAGGCCAACCTTGTTTCCTCAGCAACATCCTTGTTTCCTCTCATTCCCTCATACCCACCCATCAGTACATTGTCTGCTCTATTTTTAAATTAAATATATTCTCCTAGTTTGCAACTTGTCTTTGTACTTTTGTTGTGGTATCTTTTGATGAACAATTTTTTTTCCAGACCTTAGTCACTTAATATGAACAAATGTTTTTAATTTAATCTGCTTCAATTTATCAATTTTTTTTCTGTCCTGGTTAGCACCTTGGGGAAAAAAAATTTTATTTAAAGTAGTCCCTATCCCTGGGTTTTAAAAGATACTCTTTTTTTTGAGACAGAGTCTCGCTTTGTTGCTCAGGCTAGAGTGAGTGCCGTGGCATCAGCCTGGCTCACAGTAACCTCAAACTCCTGGGGCTCAAGCGATCCTCCTACCTCAGCCTCGCGAGTAGCTGGGACTACAGGCATGCGCCACCATGCCCGGCTAATTTTTTTCTCTATATATTAGTTGGCCAATTAATTTCTTTCTATTTATAGTAGAGATGGGGTGTCGCTCTTGCTCAGGCTGGTTTCAAACTCCTGACCTTGAGTGATCCTCCCGCCTCAGCCTCCCAGAGTGCTAGGATTACAGGCGTGAGCCACCCCGCCCGGCCTAAAGATACTCTCTTGAAGCATTTTTTTTTTAAGTTTTGCCTTTCTCAGCTCTTCTACCACCCTATTCTAAGTCGCCATCACCTCTGTCCTGGATCACTATAATAACAGCGGCTCTGTCATCTTCTAGGCTTGTCTCTGCCTAATAACCATGCTGACCCTCTAAAAATAAGATCATTTCATCCCTCTGCTAAAAAGCCTCTAATGGAATCTCATTTCATTCCAGGGAAAACCCTAAGCATTTATAGGAAGTGAGAGAGGTTGTGGTAGGCAAAGACCTGTGTGACCCACCCCCAACAACCTTTCTGGCTCCTGCAACTCCCTCCCTCACTCCACTGCAGCCACACGCTGACCTCCTTGCCAAACACACTGCCATCTCAGGACCTTTGCACCGACTGGTCTCTTTGTCTGGAATGTTCTACCCCCACGTACCCACAGTCTGGATTCTCCCCTTACAGCAGGCCTCAGCTCAAAGGTCATCTTATCAGAAAGGACTTCCCATAAATTTTACATAAATATGATAGATATTTTGTTTCTTACTTTTCTCACTGAACATATATTTTTAAAGATCTAACCATATTGCTGAATATCAATTCAGTTCATTATTTCTAACCATTACATAGTAGAACTTTTTTTTTTTTTTTGAGACAGAGTCTTGCTTTGTTGCCCAGGCTAGAGTGAGTACCATGGCATCAGCCTAGCTCACAGCAACTTCAAACTCCTGGGCTTAAGCAATCCTCCTGCCTTAGCCTCCCAAGTAGCTGGGACTACAGGCATGTGCTACCATGCTCGGCTATTTTTTTCTATATATATTAGTTGGCCAATTAATTTCTATTTATAGTAGAGATAGGGTCTTGCTCTTGCTCAGGCTGGTTTCAAACTCCTGACCTTGAGCAATCTGCTTGCCATGGTCTCCCAGAGTGCTAGGATTAAAGGCGTGAGCCACCACGCCCGGCCCATAGTAGGCCATTAAATGGCATATTTTTCTTACCCCTCTCCTTAATGATAGACTCAAAGTTGGCTTCCAGCTCCAACTACATACACAACAGGAAATAAACTTTCTCAAATATATACCCGTATGGACCTGTATGAGAGGTTTTTCTTTCTTTCTTTGGGGAGAGACTTACTTCAAGTTTTTACTCAAACATCACTCAGGCCCACTCTGTTGCCCCACTGGAAATTGCTCACACACCCTCTTCTGCCTCCTGATGCCCTTACTCTTTATTTTTCCATAGTATTTACACTTAATATTTATTTAACCTATTTTAATGTTCGTTTTTTCTCTTCCTCACACTAGAATGTAAGCTCCCTAAAGTCAGAGTGTTTTGTCTGTTTTGTTCACTGTGTCCCTAGGACCTAGAAAAGTGACACATGGTACAGGATCAATAAAAATGTGTTAAATGAATGAAAGCTTTGTGAGACTAAAAGGCAGGAAAGTGGCCTCCACAGAACAAGCCACTTGACAGATTGGAATTTTGAAATCCCAAGACCCTACATTTCACTGACTGTTCTCTATGGTTCTGATTAGTCATTCTGTTTTAGCCTTCCTTCACTGAATTGCACCAGATGAAGTCAAAGAAGAGATAGAGAGCATCAGGTAGAATTTGGGTTTTTGCTCTAAGAATAAAGATGGGCCATTGGAGGGTTTTTTTTTTTTTTTGAGACAGAGCCTCGCTTTGTTGCCCAGGCTAGAGTGCCATGGCATCAGCCTAGCTCACAGCAACCTCAATCTCTTGGGCTCAAGCAATCCTGCCTCAGCCTCCCAAGTAGCTGGGACTACAGGCATGCGCCACCATGCCCGGCTAATTTTTTCTCTATATATTAGTTGGCCAATTAATTTCTTTCTATTTATAGTAGAGACAGGGTCTCGCTCTTTCTCAGGCTGGTTTTGAACTCCTGACCTCGAGCAATCCGCCAGCCTCGGCCTCCCAGAGTGCTAGGATTACAGGCATGAGCCACCGCGCTGGCCCTACTGAAGTTTTGATGATGGAGAATTGTATGAGTCGGTTTTTCGTAAGCAGGATCTCCTTGCCAGGGCTGCATGTCAGAGCAGATTGCGAGGCGCAAGGCAGAAGCTGGGGAGACACTCAGCGAAGGCTGGGTACAGTTCAGGCGAGAGGATGATGGTA